GGCACATCCCCGGTGGGGGTTGAACAGGAGGCAGCTGGTCGATGTTTCTCTCTCATCGATGTTTCTAGCTCTCTGTCCCTCTCCCTTTCTCTCTGAGGAAAATCAATAAAATATATTTTTTTAAAAGAAAAGAAAGAAGGTAAATAAGAAAAAAGGAAAACATTTATAAACCCCTAAAACTAAGAACTAACTACATCATTAATAATTAACCTAAATGTAATTCTCAATTTCTGTACCACCAGGTTTACTTCCTCAGCAGTAAATCTACATCTATTTTTTTTAAATATATTTTATTGATTTTTCACAGAGAGGAAGAGAGAGGTATAGAGAGTCAGAAACATTGATGAGAGAGAACCATCAATCAGCTGTCTCTTGCACACCCCCTACCGGGGATGTGCCCACAATCAAGGTACATGCCCTTGCCCGGAATCAAACCCGGGACCTTTCAGGCCGCAGGCCGACGCTCTATCCACTGAGCCAAACCGGTCCCGGCTCTACATCTATTTTATTTTATTTTATTTATTTATTTTTTTAATATATTTTATTGATTTTGTACAGAGAGGAAGGGAGAAAGATAGAGAGTTAGAAACATCGATGAGAGAGAGTCATCCATCATCTGCCTCTTGCACACCCCCTACTAGGGATATGCCTGCAACCAAGGTACATGCCCTTGACCGGAATCGAACCCGGGTCCCTTCAGTCCCCAAGCCGCGCTCTATCCATTGAGCCAAACCGGTCCGGCTCTACATCTATTTTAAATCAAATCTTATCTAACCAAAATTATCCTGTCTTTAATTCCATTCTGCCCTGTTTACAAAGGAGCACAGATTATTTCAAACAAGTCACCAATCATTCTACATAGCAGCTACCACCGAGTTATCGCACTTTTATCCATACTCAACAGAGGCTCTGAGAATTAAAAATAAACTAAGAAAAACTCCAAAAACTATTCCCTGAAATCTAGTTGTAGGACTACAAATTCTCAAAAAACAACAACAACAACAACAACAACAACAACAAAGAATGTAGCACAAATTTTAAAAGTAAAGGTAAAAAGCCCTAGCTGGTTTGGTTCAATAGACAGATCGAGTGCTGACCAGAGGAAGAAGGGTACCAGGTTAGATTCCCATCAAGGGCACATACTTCGGTTGCAGGCTCAATCCCTGGCTCTGATCGAGCATGTGCGAGATGTCTCTCTCTCTCTCACATCAATGTTTGTTTCTCTCTCTGACTCTCCCTCTCTCTAAAGATAAAGTAAAAACCATCCTCAATATGCAAAAGGAAAGGTTCAGTTCTATCAGGTTTTAAGAATTACCTTAAGAACAAAAGAAAAACAAATTATGGTTTCTTAATCAGAGAACCACATCCCATTTCTAAAGCATTGCTAAACTTTTTATAAAACACTAGAGGCCTGGTGCACGAATTTGTGCACAGGTGGGGTCCCTCAGCCTGACTGGTGATCAGGGCCTGCAGTCCAGCCAGTGGGGAGGGACCACGGGAGGTTGTCTGTGGGAGTGCACTGACCATCAGGGGGGCAGCTCCTGCATTGAGTGTCTGCCCTCTGGTGATCAGTGTAAATGATAGCAACTGGTCATAATGGTCACTTAGGCATATATATATATATATATATATATATATATATACACACACACACACACACACACACACACACACACATATAAATATCATATACTCACTATGAAACATGAACCTTAACTTACTAAAAGCTAGAGAAAAGCAAGCACTAAGTACATTGGACCTTAAGCAAAATGATTTGACCTCCCTTTCAAGTTGATCTGGAGACTATTACATCAATACATAACGTGAATGTATCAAGTGTACTCTGTATTTATTAACAATTTGGGGAGAAAAGTGCTTAAAGTAAATCATTTCTAAATTTATCAGTAAGTTTTCTTAAAGCCAATCATACTATTGCTTAAAAACAAGGTCAGCTGGTTGGAGCATCATCCATACATCAAAAGGCCAGTGTGGTTCAGTTTGTTGGAGTATTGCCTAGTATACACCAAAAAGTGATTGCTTGATTCTGGATCTGAGCACATGCCCAACTGGAGCTGGAGGTTGGATCCACCTTTGGGGGTGTGAGGAGGCAACCAATGGATATTTCTTTCTATCTACCGCTCCTTCCCTCTCTCCCTCCCTTCTCCTTTAATAAAATCATTTTTTTAAAAAATTAAAAACCACCACCAAAATAAAAATAACACTTTCTTACCAAGGCAAATCATCTTTCATCTTAAGAGATCTCAGTTATCACTTAAGATCCTATGTTATCTAAGCATTACCTATTATTATTAAATAACTTATACTTGTTTCAATAGATACCTATGCTTACTGTTACTCTAAAAATAAGCTTGATGGGAACAAGTTTGATTTATATACCATAATTACCCATTCTCCGTCCCTAAAAACCTATTCCTCCCTTTGAAGTGGTAAAATCAATACCCATATCAGAAGTCAGAAATCTGATGATTTCCACACCAAAACAGAATTGCTTCATTTGAGATGTACTAATTAGCCATATACTAAACTACAAAATGCTCTAACATTTCCCAAATTACTAGGTTCTAAGCAGTTTAATTTGTGTTCTTCACCAACCTAAGCAAGTCATTTTTACCTGCTCTATGATTTTAGGTTCTTTATCAAATAAGTGGGCAGAAAAACCCAAGATTTCTTCTGGTTTTAATACAGTAAGATTTTTAACTCAACAACTGAAGAAAATAATTCTCCTGTCTTCCTACAGAAAAATACATATACTACTATACATTTAGTGAAAAGAGCTTTTCTTTCTTCCCAATACTTTAGTAATCCCTTGGTTTGTTCTCTAATTAGGAGCCAAAAATAAAAACTCAAACACTAATCTACTGAATAGGTTACTAGGCAAATGTCCTAGTCAAAAAAACAAAAACACTGCCCACATACCACTATAAAGGATCTTGGGGCCAGAATAATCACATTTCTAAGAAACAAAATGAAAAATTATAGAAGCAGGGTCAAATGGCATTTGGAAGTTCTAAACCAGAATGAGCTAGAGGTTCTGCAGCCAAATCCTGATAAGAATTCTTTAGTTTGATTATGTCCATGCCTAGACAGAGAACAAAAATCCAAAGTCATGAGTTTTAAGAAAAACTGAGATGCTTGCACATAATTCTTATTGTGATATTAGATAAATTGAGTGTTTTCCACTGTATCATTAGTTCCAAGATAATAAACTATTAGAAAATCCCAGGTGATAAAGAAAAACACATATATAGAAGTTTAATAATTGAAGCTAACCTAAGTCAATCCATAAAGTGCTCAACATTTTATTGGGTCCAGTCTTAAAAGGGTAATGTAACCAATTAATGAAAAAAATGTTTAAAAACACCTATTTGAGCATGAAACTATAACAAAAGAATAAAATCCAGAATCAGTAGCACTAGGCACTCTGGATACAAAAAAGAAATGTATCTGTAAGCTTAATATTTGCTATAAATCAAAAGAAATCAGACCCAAGGTTTTGTTTTTTGTTTGTTTTTTAAATATATTTTGACTGATTTCAGAGAGGGAAGTAGAGGGGAAGAGGGATAGAAACATCAATGATGTGAGAAAATCACTGATGGGCTGCCTCTTGCACGCCCCCTATTGGCATCTAGCCTGCAACCCCGCATGTCCCCTGGTTCATACCTGGAAGCTCAACTACTGCCCACACAGTAGAGCCAGGCATACCTAAGTTTTTTAATAAGACTGACCAATAAGAATAAAGTTATAGTTTTTTTTTAAAGATGTCACCTTTCCAACTCTAAATCACTATAAAACTGAGTAGTTTTCACAATGCCTAGAAGTTTTATATCATTAACTATAAAACCTACAATATTATGTTCTAAAGAATTTGTCAGTGTTTAAATTGATTTTCTCCCACATGTTAAGTTGATTTTCCCTTCACATTTGATATGGCCTTGGTCATTTGGAAGGTGACATTCAAAGAACTACGTATTATTAACTAGGTAAAACAGAATTCCTAGATCATTCAATTATTTTCATATCCTATTTCAGCTTGGTCCTTTTTCTTGGCAAAAAAATGAAAAACGACCAAAAAAAATTCTGCCTTTTCCATTCAGTGTTAACACTGCTTCTTCCAATAACCAATGTTCACTTCCTGATGAGAAAAATCAAGCTCATACAGGTCAAACAAGTAACCCAAAACCAGGTATTTAAACCTAGAATATACTTGTCAACCAGAATGATACACCATTATTTTCACCATGAAAACTTCCCAGAGAGATTAAAAAAGAAGCATTGTAACTCCTCTAAACTTTTGGGAAAGTTTGGCTTAAAAACCTTTTATAACAAACTTAAAAACAATAATTCTGCATGTGCTCGTACTATTCATTGCATAGTTTATGGGCTAAAGACATATTAGTTTTAATTAACAAGGTAAGATCACTGCTAGCTAGCATAAGGCATAAGCATCATTAGGTGGTACAACATCGAATACTCATTGTACCTTACTAGTCCCAAGGCATTTGGCCAGAGAAGAAAGTCTTTTTTATAGTGGTTATTATTAAATGCCTGTGTAACCGCCAACAAAGATATAGCCAAAGGAAGGTCATTCATGAACAAGGTCGTTCTTACTAAAAAAGAACAGTCTGATCTCAGTAGCACACCAGCAAGTCATCACTGCAAAGCCTTTGATGAGTCTGAAATGTAACTCAAAAACGTCCCCCACTAATTCCAAGTTTCCTGCCAGACACTAAACCATAATAACAAATAGACAATGCATTTGTATCGAAGATTTTCATCACTCCTTCTCTAGTAGCAAATCTCACTGGCTATCAATAATGCCCCCAAATCTAGTTTCAATCTCTTTCAAAAGGTGGCCTCCCCTCGCCCAGTCAGAGCGAACAGTTAAAGAATGACAAGTAAAGAGTGAACTCGATAAACTGGCCTAACCGAGCACATTTGGGACCCAAACACACAGTATAATAAAGTAGGCGGGGCCATACCTGCAGTTCACACCAGGCGACCTCCACGGTGGTTTCAGTGTCCAGTCCTTTGTAGACCGTCTTAAAGGAGCCTCTGCCAATTTCTATATCAAACTTGAGAAAGCGGCCGTCGTTGGACATTCCCACGGCCTTGGTCTCCAGCTCTTCGATGTCATCCTGCTGCTGGCTCCGTTCCTCCTGCGAATCCTTGGCGCTGCTGCCGCCGCTGCCGCTCCTCGCTGATGCCGGAGGCTCCTCTTTGCTCCCCACATGGTCGGGCTGGGAAACTTGGCGGTCTTTGCTGACAGTGCTGGGGGCAGTCGTGGTGGTTGCTGGGCCCGGGACAGCGGGTTCCCTCGGGGCAGCAACGGCGGCGGGAGGCTGCTGGGCTACCTCGGCGGCGGCGGCGGTGGCGGTCACGGTCTCCTCGCGATGGGGCTCCGGCGGAGAGCTCCGGGGCACCGCCGCGGCGGCGCTGGGCTGGGGGAGAGCGAGCGGGAGGCCGGGCAGCTCCAGCGCCGTCGCGTTGGAGTCGCAGATGACGCTGCGGCGGAAGAAGCGGTGCTCGGTGGTGGTGGTGGTGGCGGCCGCCCCGCGGCTGTCCTTGTCCATGGTGTGGCGGCGGCGCCGGTACTCCTCAGTCCTGCCGGCGCCGGCGTCGGTCCCCGCCGCGCCCAGCTTCTCCCCGACCGAGGAGTCTGAGCTAGAGCCATTTTTGGGGGCGGGCGCCGGCGGCGAGAGGAACAGGGAGCTCGGAGTGCCGCTCTGCTTCTCGGCGGCGCCTCCGGACATGGTGGGTCCACCGGAGCGAGGCGAGCCGGGTCGATTTTGTGAATGAAGAGAGGGTGGGGGGCCGACCCGGAGGGCCGGTGCAGCGTAGGCAGGTACCGCTACGACGCGTCCTGCTCCCGACGGGTTAGGACCACACCGGACCGCTCCTCACTTAGAACTGACAAGTCACCCCGAAGGCGAGGCGGGACACCGGGCCCTGCTGCGGCGGCTGCTGCTTGGGCTCACAAGGCGGGCTCGGCGGCGGGCTATCGAGGAGCTGAGCCACGGGGGTTAGCGCCTCGCGATCCGCAGCCATCCTGCGGCAAGCCGCGGGCGGGAAGGCTGGAGCGGCAGAGGCGCCGCAGTCATGAGGGGCGAAGCGCCGGCACCGAAGAGAAGCGGATGCGGCGGATGCGGCGGCGCCTCCAGCTCCCCGCCGCCGCCGCCGCTGCGCGGACTGGGCGGGCTAGGCCCGGAGGGCGGCGGCAACGCGCGGCAGGGACCGGCGCGGACTCCCGAGCGGTGGCAGCTCCGGGGCCAGAGAGAGTGGGAGGGGCCGAGGAGGGCGAGGGAGGGCCGGGCCCGGGGGCTCCCGGACAGTCCAGTCGGTCGCCGCCTCACGAACGCGCCCCCAGCCAGGGGAACCAGTCTCAGAAGGCGTCCATCGCCCCGCCTGAAGGGTCGAAGCCTCGGTGCCTGAGAAGCGGGCCCCCCCTTCCCCGAGGCCTCCCCGCCTGCCCCGGGCCTGGCAAACCCCCGCCTCCTCCCGGGCCGGTGCCGGGGGCTGACGGAGGGAGGGAACGGTGGGGAGGGGAGGGCCGCTCGCCGCGGGGCCGAGCTCCGCTGCTTCTCTGGGCCAAGAGCACAGGAGGCCGAAAGGACTGGGTGAGGGGGGCTAGGGAGAGAAGAGGGTAGTCACCCCGACAGGCACCTTCTGTCACCGAAGACCGGAGTGCAGAGTGGGTCGAGTATGAAGAGGCGCGTCCAACAGAGAAACTCGCCGCGCTAAATGGCGCCGGGAGTCTGAAGGCTCCACACAGCCCGCTCGGACCCCGCCCCCCACCGCCCGGGGCAGCCCCGCCCCCACCTAGCTCTCAGGACTCTCGCGCAGGCGTGCAGTACCGAGGCCCCTGGGACTTGTAGTTTACTCGCCAAAGGAATGCAAGGGGTTCAGGCGGAAGGAGCCTACGACTTCCGTGATGACTTGCGGCAGTTTTAATTTAATGCCTCATGGGAATTGTAGTTTTCTTTTGGAAACCGCCCCTTCTGGAAGGCTGATGGGAGCGTCGCCCTGAGTCGCCAAACCCCATCCTTAAATCAGCGCTAGCTGGGAAAATCATTATTTGGGGGTTAATTGTGGAAGAAGGGAAGGAAGGAAAAAAAAAGAAAGAAAGAAAGAAAAGGGAGGCAAGCGAGAGAAGAGATCCCTAATTCCTGTCAATGTTCTACTGAAGCAAGAGAAAACTCTTAGGGTTGCCATGCAAAGAAAAATGATCTGTTGTTCTTCTTTAATGGAGAAAGCTGCTGAAGTGTTGAGTGACTGTAGGGCTGTTGGGATAAAGGGGGAACGCAAAGCAGGAGAAGCAGAGCCTAGGCTCAGCCAGATCTAAGGACTCCTTCCACAGGTTAAAATAAACTTTGTGGATTGCGCATAAGATTACTGTTGATTAAATGGGTTGAAGAAGGAAACAGGGAGAATTATCTTCTATCCTCCTTGATTCCATAGCAATCAAGATGAGTTGTGGGCATTCTCAGCTCCAGCTCTAAGACATTCTGGTTCTCAAAGATGGGCTACCCTACTTTGGATCATAGTGATCTCTTTGCTGGAATAAAATAGATGGTGTGGGGTGGGGGAGAGGGACTTGGCGTCTTGAGAGAGTAGACTTCTGTATAGTTGGTTGAAATCTAATTTCCATCTTTCCTTTGGTGGTTTAGTAAAACAACATCCCCTCTTTCTCTAGGGGTGTATGAAAGTACACATGTAATGTATTGCTTTGGACATAGAGGAAATTTGCATCCACATGTCACAGTAATGGAAAGTATCTTTGGGCTCTCTCACAACTACTCAGGATTATACAGGTGATGAGCACTAGGGGGCACCAAACAGAGTTGGGGAGCCAGATGGCAGTTTAAAATGTCTTAAGCCCGACGGGTAAGAGCAGGAAGCACGTAAATATATGCAAGGGCATCAGAGCGTCAACACACTCCTTTCTCTCCTCAGCGCCCACTGGGGAAGGAACTCAGAAGCGCACAATCTAGCGGAGGACCACGCTAAGACTACGAGTAGTTTAGAAGCAACTTTACAGAAGATTCGTTGGTTCACACTAGTTTCCTAGGAAACGCCCACAACTTATCTGGATGAGCTCCACTTAGAGAAGTTTGCTGTATAATTCATATTAATTTGCCTGTTAAGTAAAATAGTTATACACGTTTACAGCTTTTTTCTTTATCAAAAGCTACACTTCCAGGCATACAAAAAAGTTTGTTTTAAAACCAGTGGTTGCTAGGTTTCATGAAGCTAGCAGATTATAAACATTTTAAAATACGAATTCAGTAGGGGCAACTCAAGTACTAAAATAGTAGAGTTCCATTTACTAGAAAATATATTGTTAACTCATTTGCTATGGTAATGGTAAATCTCAATATGATATATGTAATTAGTAGTTTGTCTCCAATCTTAAATTTTAATATAAAGCAAAGGAAGAAATGACTTTAAAATACATTTTTATTATACGTCTTGAGGCAGATTATTAGAACTTGCTCAATTGTTGCTTTACTAGAAAAAAAATAGTCTGATTTTAAATATAATCAAACTAATAAATTGGTGAGTTAAAAGAAGATCAGTAAATCACAATGTTCAAATGTTGGCACCATAAAAAAAATGATGCTATTTCTGTGTGAATGGTTATTTAAAAACTTTATTAGTGCCTATTTCTGTTTACTCTGCATTGAAATTTTGGCCACAATGCATTGGACTCAAGTCCCTGGATGATCACCATGTCCTGTCAACACATTAGTTCAACCAGGAACAATTAAACATATTGTAAATAATTAACTTGATTGAAAGCTCTGCTTGCCCACATGACAGACTTTCCTATTTGTGCAACATTAGTTTTACTATGAAAACAGGTACAACTTTGAGTATAACTATATTGTGTACAATGGTTAGATTTAAAGGTTAAAATGTTTTATACTCTGGTTTCTCTTCAGATCGCATAAATCTTTCGCCTTTTAAAGGTTAAAATGTTTAGTGTGATTATTTTACTACAGACACCTTTTTAATGCTTACCAACTTTCAATTAACATTTTCTGTTACTTATTAATATATCCCTAATAGCATTTCTCTTTTCTGTCAATTCAATTATCGAGTAAAGAGCAGATCTCTCTCTGTAATATACATAAAACATCTACCTATAATAATCTTTAATAATAAAAGCATAATATGTTAATTAGACCAGGCAGCTGAATAATCTTCCCGACATCATTCCAGACGTCCTTCCAGATGAAGCTGTGGTGGAGAGGGCCAAGGCAGAGGCAGTTAAGGGTGATCAGGAAGGCAAGCAAAACAGTTAGGGGCAATCAGACAGGCATGCAGAGTGGTTAGGAGCAATCAGACAGGCAGGCAGGTGAGCAGTTAAGAGCCAGTGGCCCCAGATTGTGAGAGAGTGCAGGCTGGGCTGAGGGATAACCCCCTCCCCATGCATGAATTTCGTGCACTGGTCTATATATGAAAGCCTAAGCAACCGAATGATTGAACAACCAGTCAACCAGTCACCATGACACACACTGACCACCAGAGGGCAAACACTCAACACAGGTGCTGCCCCCTAGTGGTCAGTGTGCTCCCACAGCAGAAGCACTGCTAGCAGACCAACGGGTGCCAGATGCAGGTCTCACAGCTGGCAAGTGCTGCTGCAGTGATGTGAGCCTCTCTTGGTTCAGACTGGGCACAAGCCCTCAGCAGGCAAAGTGGGGCCAGGATGAGTGGGAGTGGCAGGCAGGAGCAGCAGGCGGCATTGGACTGCCGGTTTTGGCCCAATCCCCACAGGCCACACCAAAGGACCCCACTGGTGCACAAATCAATGCACCAGGCCTCTAGTCAAGTAATAAAAGAAGAGGTAGCAAAAAGACCTCAAGACACAATGGATGCACTAAACTCAGAGATTTGATTTTGTGACAGCTAGGTCCATAAAAAGTATACATGTAATTTATTTTCTCACACCATATTCTTTACTCACTTTTGTCCTTGTTTATTTTCTCGCATAAATTCATGTTTCTTTCATTTCCCAACCATTCATAACTATATAGTAATCATACTAAGTAATGAAAGCCAGAGCCAGTGATGACTTAGTCAGTTGCTAAACACATAAAATCTACCTTATTTCATATGTCACATAATTCATAGGGTAGCTTCTTGAAGTGTAAGAGGAAAAATATTTTGAGAGCATTTCTCTTTATTTTTTCCTCCTTTCCCCCATTTCTCATGCACCTTTGTCTTGCCTGTGGATAATTTTAATTTTACCTTTTGTCATCTAGAACTCAAGGAAAACTGGATATTCAGATAGTTAAACAATGAAGAATTAAAAAAAAAACTTTAAAAATATTTTTATTATTTTAAGAAAGGAGAGGGAGAGAGAAATAGAAACATCAATGATGAGAGAGAATCATTAATTGTCTGCCTCCTATATGCATGCTCCCCTGCCCCCTGCCGCCCCTCTTCCCCTCCTACACTGAGGATTGAGCCTGCAATCTGGGCATATGCATTGACTGGGAATTTAACCATGGCCTAATGGTTTATAGGTCAAACCTCAACCACTAAGCCACACCAGTTAGGCAAAAACTTTTATATTAAAATGAAATAAAGGGAGTGGGAGTGCTCTAGATCAAAGCATATTATAGGAGAGGAAACAAGATGGTAGCATAGGTAAACACCTGTACTTGCTGCCTCTCACAACCATATCAAAACCACAGCTAACTATATATACATACACATACATATATGTGTGTGTGTGTGTGTGTGTGTGTGTGTGTGTGTGTGTGTGTGTGTTTGTGGCCCAGAATCACAGGAAAGCTGACTGAGTGGAAGTTCTACAACTAGAAGGAAAGAAAAAGTGCATTGAGACTGGTAGGAGGTGCAGAGGTCCAGAGGTGCAGAGGTACGAAGGCATGCACAAAATAGGCGGGCAACTGGATGTGCTGTTGTTTTTTTCAATTGGGAGGGAGATACAAGCTCCCGATTACTCTGCACTCCAGTTGTGGATGAGATCTGGAGATGCAGACTCATACAGGGAGAAACTGGACTGTCTGGCATTGGGCTAGAACATGAGGGTGGCTTTCCCTCAGAGGTGCTTGCAGCGATTGTTGTACCTGCGTGAGGGTATGGGACGCAGAGATGCAGGGATCTCCCTAGTGCAGGGCTGACTGGCAGCCATTGCTGTTTGCTCCACCTGGTGATTCCCTGAGATGCCATCCCACCAAAGTGGTAGGCAGCGGCTTTTGCATATGAATGGCCTATCATTTTGCAGCTTAAAACCTAATAAACTTCAGCTGGGTCAGAGAGTTCCAAAGTTTCCAAAAGAAGGGCCAAGGCTTTGCAGTAGAAGCAGCCTGTCTTTCTTCACAGCTGGGTCTCATCTGGGCACTTCCAAACCTTAAACAAAGAGGAAGAATCTGCAGATCTCGCTGTAGCTCTTGCTGGGAGGAGTTAGGCAGTGGTTGACTTTGCAACTCCTTGGAGATCCAAGAGCCAGTGTACCCAGTGGTCAATGTGAGACCATACTAGATTACAACTCTTCACATCCATAAGTGACACACTCAAGGGGCAGACTCAATGAGCACCAAAGCCCCACTGAAGCAAATTCTGTCCCATAAGGGTGTCTCCAACACAGCAGCTCTTCCACTGTAGACACAGCCAATTGGCCTGGAGGTCAATTCCTCCCAGTGATACCAACAGCAATCAAGGCTTAACTACAACAAGACTGCACCCAACCCACAAAGGGGAGCACCAAGTGTGTCCACCTCAGGTGACTGGGGAGCCACTGGGCCCTATACGACACCTAGCACACAAGGCCACTCTATCAACTCAGGGAAGCAGCCAAAATGCAGAGAAAAAGAAACATGTCACAAATGAAAGGAATGGAGGAAAGCAAACTACTGAATATAGAGTTCAAAACCACAGTTATATGGTTACTCATGAATCTTCTAGAAACCTCTGAGGAACTTAGTGAGACCTTCAAGGATCTTAGTGAGAATGCCAAAAAAATAAATAAATAAATAAATAAATAAATAAATAAAAATAAAATGGAAAAGGACCAGTCAGAAATTAAGCATAAACTGACTAAAATAAAGAATAATGTCCAAAGATCCAACAGTAGATTAGAGGATCTCAAGAATGAAATCAAAGATTTTTTTGAAATATGAAGAAGCAAAAAACACCCAACCAGAAAAGAAAAAATAAAAAAGAATCCAAAAATATGAAGAATATTTCCTTAGCCTCTGGGAAAACTTCAAGAGTACCAACATCTGAATTATGGGGGTGCCAGAAGAAGAGAGAGAGCAAGATATTGAAAACCTATTTGAATAAATAATGACTGAAAACTTACGCTGGTGAGGGGTGGTGGGGAATGTGTCCCTTAAGGGATGTCCAAGGGATCCCTACCAGGATCAGGCCTAAATGGGTAGTTGAACATCCTTGTCACAATCCAGGACTGCTGGCTCCCAACTGCTTGCCTGCCTGCCTTCCTGATTGCCCCTAATTGCTTTTGCCTGCCAGCCTGATTACCCCCTGATCACTCCCCTGCCAGCTGGATTGATGTCTAACTGCTCCCCTGCCAGCCTGGTCCCCCGCAACTGCCCTTCCCAGCTGGCCATCTTGTGGTGGCCATCTTGTGTCCACATGAGGGCAGCCATCTTGTGTGTTGGAGTGATGGTCAATTTGCATATTACTCTTTTATTAGATAGGATGATTGGGTTACCAAAGAGATCAAAGAAGAAACAAAAAAACATCCTGGAAACAAATGACAATGAAAACATAACAATCCAAAATTTTTGGGACACAGTGAAAGCCATCTAGAGAGGGATGTTCATAGCATTACAGGCTACTTAAAAAAAAAAAAAAAAAAAACCTAACCGGTTTGATATCAGTGAATATATCTTCAGCCTGCAGACTGAAGGGTCACAGGTTCAATTCCAGTCAAAGGCATGTACCTTAGTTACGGGCACATGCCCAGTGGGGAGTGTGCAGGAGGCAGCTGATCAATGTTTCTCTCTCATTGATATTTCTGGCTCTCCATCTCTCTCCCTTCCTCTCTGTAAAATATCAATAAAATATATTTAAAACAAAACAAGAAAAGTTGATAATAAATTATCTAACTCTACAACTTAAAGAATTAGAAAGAGAGCAATAAGAAAAGCCCAAAGTGAGCAGAAGAAAGGAAATAATAAAATCAGAGTGATATAAATGACATAGAAACAAAGAAAAATCAATAAAACCAAGATCTGGTTCTTTAAAAGGATAAACAAGATTGATGAACCTCTAGCAAGGCTCACCAAGAAACAAAGAGAGAGGACCCAATAAACAAAATAGAAATGAAAGAGGTGAAATAACAGATCCCACAGAAATAAAAAGGATTGTAAAAAATTCTCTGAACAAGTCTATTTCAACAAACTGGTCAACCTAGAATAAATGGATATATTCTTAGAAATATACAACTTTCCAAAACTCAACCAGGAGGAATATATATATATATATGAATAGGCTGATAACTACAGTGGAAATTGAAGCAGTAATCAAAAAACTTCCATCAAACAACAGCCCTGGGTCAGACAGTTTTAGAGGTTCTGCTTCTCCACCAAACATTCAAAGAAGAACTAAAATCTATCCTATTATCCAGACTATTACCAAAAATTCAAGAGGAAGGAAGTCTTCAAAGCTCTTTCTAAAAAGCCAGCATTACCCTAATCCCAAAACAGATAAAGACCCTACAAAGAAAGAGAATTGCAGGCTAATATTCCTGATGAACATAAATGCTAAAATCTTCAACAAAATCCTAGCAAATTGGATCCAGCATTACATTAGAAATATTATACACCATGAAAAAATGGAATTTATTCTGGAGATGCAAGGATGGTACAATATCTGCAAATCAATAAACGTGATATATCACACACAAAAATTGAGAGATAAAAATCACATAATCTTATCAATTGATGCAGAAAAAGCATTTTACAAAATCCAACACCCTTTCTTGATAAAAACTCAGCAAAGTGGGAATAGAGGGATCATATCTCAACATAATAAAAGCCTTATATGACAAACCTATAGCCAATCATACTCAATGAGCAAAACAAAAACCATTTCACCTAAGTACAGGAACAAGACAAGGATGCCCACTTTTACCACTTCTGTTTGACATAGTACTGGAAGTGCTAACCATAGTGATCAGACAAGGCATTCAAATTGGAAAAGAAGAAGTAAAACTATCATTATTTGCAGATAACATAATATTGTACACAGAAAACCCTAAAGACTCCTTCAATAAACTACTAGACCTAACAAATGAATTTGGCAATGTAGCAGGATAAAAATTAGCACCCAGAAACAGCCGAAACCAGTTTGGCTCAGTGGATAGAGCGTCGGCCTGCAGACTGGAAGGTCCCAGGTTTGGTTCCAGTCAAGGGCATGTACGTTGGTTGCAGGCACATCCCAGTGTGGGGTGTGCGGGAGGCAGCTGATCGATGATTCTCTTTCATCGATGTTTCTGACTCTATCCCTCTCTCTTCCTCTCTTAAAAAATAAATTAAAAAAAAAAAGATATTGCTACAACAAATGTCTGATATTATGCCTATGGCTTCTTCTAAGATTTTTATGGTTTCCCATCTTATGTTTAAGTCCTTTATCCATTTTGAGTTTATTTTTGTATATGGTGTAAGTTGGTGGATCATGGTTTGATGCCTGGATGGCGGGCTCAATCCCCAGTAGGGAGCATGCATCAGGCAGCCAATCTATAATTCTCTCTCATTATTGATGTTTTGTTTTTTGTTTTTATCTCTTTGTCCCTCTCCCATCCTCTCTGAAATAAGTAAAAATATATTTAATAAAAAGAAAAAGAAATAGTTCAGTAAGGAAGAGAGATGACTATCCAGGCTATGTTGTTTTGGTCACATTAATGCCCTCATGACCTTTTTCCATGACCACTGGGAATAACAAGAGTTGACAATGGGGAAAAGGTGGGGAAGGAAATAAGTAGGAAATTGTGACAAACAGACATGAGAGCCAAGGTCTATTTTAAAGGTCAACAAATCCATTTAGATAGTGTGATACCTTGTCAGCTTCTAACACACTATTATCTTTTAGTGTTATTTAACACTAAATGGTTTTTTTTAAAAAGTCTTCCCAGTCAGTGTGTCATATATATATGTCCCCCAAAAATGTATACACACTTTAACAGCTGATAATTCACTTAAGTTTCACGTCTTTTCAGGTTTAACTGATTTGAAATAATGGGTGAAGCCAGAGTAAGCTTTGAACAACAACAAAAAATTTATCCTAAAGTGCCACTAAACTTTTTTTATGTGAATAAATAAAATATAGTTTACAGTTTAAAACTGACAATAGTTGACCAATTGAAGGAGCACAGATACCAAATGAAATGATACTTTAAAAAATGTATCTTTATTATTGAAAGTATTAAAGATGTCCCCTTTTTCCCCCCACTGACTCCCTCCACCCTGCCCATGCTCCTACCCCGTCCCTTCTGCTCCAGCCTATGGTACTATTATCTCTGTCCACGGGTTATGCATATATGTATCTAAGTTCTTTGCTATTTCATTGCTTTGAGTTATCAGCAGTGCCTGGACAAATATGAATGGTCATCAGTTTACAAACAGACATTCACACACACACACACACACACACACACACACACAATTATTCCTTTTTGTAGAATTTTTTAAATTTGAAAATGAGCTGTATGTTAAAAAAACACTGACTTTATAATTATTCTAAGAGTGTACACATGTTTTTTTGTTTTGTTTTTGTAATATGTTTTATTGATTTTTTACAGAGAGGAAGGGAGAGGGATAGAGAGCTAGAAACATTGATGAGAGAGAAACATCGACCAGCTGCCTCCCGCACACCCCCCACCGGGGATGTGCCCGCAACCAACGTACATGCCCTTGACTGAAATCAAACCCGGGACCCTCCTGTTCACAGACCGACACTCTACCACTGAGCCAAACCGGTTTCAGCCATGTTTATACACTTTAACAACTGGTAGCTTAATTGATATCTTTTTTTCTTTTCAGCCAGACTAAGCTTTGAACAATGAAAATTTATCCTTAAATGCTACTGGAAGTTTGAAAATACTGTTGAAGTACAAACACTGCCTTTATAATTATTCAAGGCATTTATACATTTTGGGGGACAACCTATATATACACATACAAATACTAAACAAAATGATTCTTTATATATATTTCTATCTAATAAGGAGGGAATATGCTAATTGACTGCCACACCCTCAAAGATGGTGGTGCCCACAGCCCCAAGATGGTGGCACCCAGTTCCCTTAGTCCCCCTAGGGCAACAGGCATATGGCAAGGCCAGCCCCGCCCTGAGGCAGGCCCAGCCGCTCTGCACACCTGCCTCCGGAATCCCCAAATCCCCTCAGCCCCCCAGCCCCCCAGGGTCTGCCCAAGGCACAGGCAAGCCTCAGATGATGGCTGTCCAGATGCCCAGGGCCATCCGAGGCTCGGTAACCAGGGCCAGCCAAAGCTTGCACTGCCGGCAGTGGCACTAGCAGAGGTGTGATGGAGCGTTGCCTTTCCCTGATCGCCAGGTTGCCTCCTGCCCCTGAGGGCTCACAGACTGTGAGAGGGGGCAGGTCGGGCTGAGGGACCTCCCTCCAGTGCATGAATTTT